TGCATAAGATCTTCAGTGCCGCCAGGTGATGGTGTCTCACGCCTTTAATCCCAGCACTCGGGAGGCAGAGGCAGGCGGATCTCTGTGAGTTTGAGACCAGCCTGGTCTAAAAGAGCTAGTTCCAGGACAGGCTCCAAAACCACAGAGAAACCCTGTCTCGAAAAAAACCAAAAGATCTTCAGTGCCGCGAAGGACGCAGGCACTGGAGAGAGGACCCAGCCTGCTGAATGGAAAAAAATAAAATCTTTACTGTGTCTGACAGATCAATGTTTGAAAACTATACAGAACCCAAAAGTTAAATACCAAAAATCATATAACTAATACCAAAAATCATATAACTAATACATAAGCTAATGGATTGAGTAGGTAGCTCTCCAAGGAAATGAAATACAAATGGCCAATAAAGATTTCAAAGTGTTTAATATCCCTGCCATTATGAAAAAAATTAAAATTGCTTCAAGATTCTACGTCACCCCAGTTGGAATCACCAACCAGATAAAGGACAGCAAATGCTAGCCAGGACATAAGAAGAAAGGAATCTTCATTTACTCTTGGTAAGAGTATAAACTGACACAGCCTATATGAAGATAAATATGGAGACTCTCCAAAGTACTAACTACCCCCATATAATCCAGCCATACCCAAGGAGTCCAAGTCAGCAGGCCACAGAGATCCTTGCACACCTGCCTTCATTGCTGCTGTATTCGCAGCAGCTAAGAAATAGGGTCAAACAGCAATCAACAGACAAACAGAAAAGGGACAATTGGGTAAATACACACAATGGAGTCATCTTCAGCTGTAAAATTTGAATGAAATGACATTAATAGAAAAAAATGGAAAGACGCCAAACTCAGAAGACAAATACGTTTTATTTCGTATGCGTGTTCTAGATTTAAATTTATACACACATTGTACAAAACATATTGTTTATGTATGTATGTAGGCTATGGAGATAGGAAGCGACTATAGAAAGCTAAAGAGAGGGAACAAGAGAGGATAATAGGATGTGTGTGCCATGAAATCGGAACGTGGCAGGGCATTCACTCACAAGAAACTAAGAAGGGACATGAGGAAGGGTATTAGGGGCTGTTGTTAAAAGCACTGGCTGCTCTTCCAGAGGTCCTGAGTTCAATCCCCAAAGACCACATGGTGGCTCACTACCACCTGTAATGAGTTCTGGTGCCCTCTTCTGGCCTGCAGGCAGAACACTGTATACATAATGAATAAATAAATTTTTTAAAATAATAATAATATGTATTATGAAAGCATCTCAAGGAAACCAATTTTTCTGTATACTAGCCAAAAATTTAAATTTTGAAAAACTAGTTCTGTATTTAAAAAAATATCTCACCTCATTCTTTTTTCTTTTTTTCAGTAACTTTAACCAAGAGGTTTTGTTTTGAGGCAGGATCTTATTATATATCCCAAGCTAGCCTCAGATTTATGGCAGTCCTCCGAAGTGCTGGGATTACATGCATGAGCACTAGGTTCTGTTTCAGCAAAGGGTTAAAGTTTTGTACAGATGCGTCCTTCCCTCTAGCTTTCTCTGACTTGGTGTGGCAGCTCTCCAGTCCTCCAGCCCGCTCCGGCTCCTTCCCTCACAGTCTACTGATGGCTGCTCCCTTCCTCCAGGCTGGCTCATTAAGGCTGTCTCCCATGCTCTCAGAAGCGTTATGTCCAGAAAGGATGCATTCAGTCAAACCGACCCTAGAAAGCTGAATCAAAACCCAAATCATATTTATTTCAGAAGAGCAGTTACTCTTTCAGTCTGGAGTTCAGAGCAACTTAGCACACTTGCTGGGTTTAAGCAGTGAGGCTCGTGCCAGAATGCAAAGGCAAACTCTTGGCACACTGGTTATTAAGAGAGTAGAAGATAGGCCAAGACAAAGAAGTCACGATTTAGCAGGCTGGAGGGAAGGCATCAGAATGGTCAGGAAGATGGGAAGGAGAGGAAAGGGCAGGACAACTGAGGGAACTGAGGTTTGAACCAGAGTCGAATCTCCAGTAAGGAGCATATGATGGAAACACAGAGATCCAGGATCCTTGGCAGTGTTTAGGGTGTGTGGGGTCACATGTGATATGTTTGGTAGGATATAAAGAATATGGCAGGGAGAAGCAACAGAAGAGAGACGGTATAGAGTCTTACTATCTTATCACACCCTTGGGTCTCCCGTTATTTTCTGCCATAGAACCCAAGGGAAAGATTCACACTATCATTTTAAGTCCTCAGGGTGAAGAGATGATGTCTGTGTTACTGGGGTTACACGTTTGTCCCTGAGTGTCATGAAGAGAGAGGCAGTTGATGTGGGCAGATGCTGTGATTTCCCTCACTTCCACAGTTAATCCTGCTTTCACGGCCACCTGGCGGGACAGCTGACGGCTTTCATTAAGAAAGCATTTCTCGTCTCCTTTCCAGATTTACCAGGCAGGGTCTAGGATTGCCTCAGAAGTATAAATTTCTCCTGAGACCCTTGGGCCGTGTTTGCACCTTCACCCTCTCCCCTTTTCTTTGGTAAGCTCCTCACGTCTTGATCAAGTCTTGTTTCCTGACCAGAAGCCGAAGCCGCTCATAGAGGATCTACCTTTCAGTACAGAGATCTATCAGAGGGCTCCAGGGCTCTTCCCTGCGCTCAGTCTAAAACCAGGAGCCAGGAAGAATGGGGTCTAAGAGCAGAAAATGGAGACTCTCTACCTGAAATCCATCAGCAAGACAAGGAAAGAAAGATAGTGCTACTAGAGATGAAACCAGCTATTGGTAAGTGTCTTGTATTCTCAGTGTAGAAGTGACCCTCTGCGTACACCCCTTGCCATCCAGCCACTGCCCAGTAGTGACACTTTAGAGCTCTGAGACAGCTGTCGTTCTCATGCCTTGAACCAGCTCGGCCGAGAGCACTGGTCGTGTTGTAGAAGTATATCCAGGAATGGTGGTTTATGCCTTTAACCACATCACTCAGGAGACAGAGGCAGACCCATCTCTGAATTCAAGGCCAGCCTAGTTTACACAGCAAGTGCAGGCCTGTTTAGTGAGATGCTGTCTCAAAAAACAAGCAATCAAACAAAGCAAGCTTGTAAAGGAACAGTGTAGCACCTCCTCAGGGTCAGAAAGCCCTGTGCTCACCAGACAGCAGATCAGCACCAGAGGTTAAGCCAGGGCGGAAGCCCAAGGGGAGAGGTGGTACCCAATTCCCTTTGTTTTCCCAAGTTCAGCCCCCATCCCTTGGAACTCCGAGGATACCAGGTTACTGTCAGCGTCACAGCATCCACAGGTTTGTGGATGAACCAAAGGATGGAGGGGACATTGACAAATAAACTGGGAAAGATCAATATTTCAGGGTCCTACACTTATGAAGATATGAACGGCATTTGGGAGCCGGTGAGTCACTTCAGATAAAGACTGGCTTAGGCCAGAAAGTGACTTCACAGGGAATGACAGAGGGCTGAGAATAGGTCTGCGTTAGATACCCAGTACTTTCTGTTCTTAGGTCAAATGCATTGCTTCTGTGGAAATGCCTCTCTCCCCTCAAGTCTCATTTGAGACTGTGGATTTCTGGTGTGTCTTTCTTGAGAGTACTACTTCCCCCACTGAGGCTCAGTTTTGATGTCCTTCTTAGCATTCTACACACAGCAGCACTATCTCCTCCTGTCACAAGCCCCAACTTTGCTGTTTTATCTCCAGCAATGTGGCCTGTCTCTGAGTTGCCAAGGCCAGGATGTGGCACGCGATGAAAGCAGAGGTAGCATGGCAGCCCTGACCTACACACTGTGATTTCTGTAAAAGCTGGAGGGAGGACTGACACTGGGTGAGCCCCTAAGGTCACGAAGCTGCTCTGTCCTAGACAGAAGGTACCAGTGTTTCCCATGCACACAGAGGTGAGGAAGGAGAAGAGAGTGGAGTGAGGGTCAAGAGTCCAAGGTGTGGCTCGGCATTGGATGGTTGGGTATGTTCAGAATGGCGCGGCTGGAGAAGAATCAATGTTTTTAAAAATAATTCTGATGTTTTGCTACTGAGAGTTTTTAATTAGTTTTTTCTTCCATGTTTTCCTTATCTTTTTTTAACAGAGACTTCAGAATACCACCATGTTGGCTATTTTTATTTATTTTTTAGTTGGTGGGACTGGAAGGACTTAAATCAACTCGGTTTCCAATTTAATTAATTATAGCCAGGAATTTGTGGCTCTGTTTCTGACAGTCCAGTGGAGCTGGTTTTGGAACACTCTGGACTGTGGTTCAGAAGGGAAAGGGTCACAAATTGGAAAAACCTTTATGAACTCATATTCATATTAACAAGCACTGAGCTTAAAGGCAGCAGACTAACTGCATGAAGTAATGTGGTTTACTATTGTGTCCTCTCTTCACATAGTACAACCTGCTTCAGAAATGCATTTTGTGGAAATCTGAGTTTGGTTAAATTCTTCGTTCATTATGAAAATTCTCCATAAAAGGGAGAATTGGTGTATAAAATGGCCCGGCTTCTACTGCTAATTGTTTAGTTAGTAATTAAAATGCAAGCAAGGGCTCCATTCCTTGATCATCTTTCCAACGTGGTGGCAAACCAGGCCTAATTCTGACTCTCATCCACCTCATTTGTTAGGTTGGCATGGGAAACTCTTTTGAATCCTGTGTCCTGTTATTTACTTGCTTCTTACCAAAATAAATAAATAAATAATGCAACGGAGGAACCCAGTGTTCTTAGCCCAGTGAGTAGAGACAGAAGACTTCAAAAGCAGGCGTCAGCCGCAGCTGTTTCTTTCCAGAATCATGTCCTCATATTTTCACCCAGTTCAGACGTTCAGAGAGTTTTCTCTTCACCACAAAGAACCATCCGTCAAGATTTGAGAATGAGACTTGTGGAGGTACAGGTTCCTGACAGTTTCTTAAGCGCAAGCTGCCTTTTAGGGGGAATTTCTCCTGCTCTGTAATCAGATAACGACCTTGAGTTTCAGGATGCGTGCCTCCATCACGACCACGTTCATTTTGTCTTACAGGTGGGAGAGATCACAATGGCTCCATGTGGGAACCACAGCGACCGGACTACAGAGTTTGTCCTGGCCGGCTTCCCGAACCTGAACAGCACAGGCGTGGAACTGTTCTCTGTGTTCTTTCTAATTTACCTGCTGACCCTAACAGGCAACGTGCTGATTGTGGGGGCGGTGGGCGCCGATCAGCGTCTGAAGACGCCCATGTATTTCTTCCTGAGTAACTTGTCCTGCCTCGAGATTCTGATCACATCTGTCATCATCCCTAAGATGCTGAGCAATTTCCTCTCGAAACAACACACCATTTCCTTTGCCGCGTGCATCGCTCAGTTTTATTTTTACTTCTTTCTTGGGGCCTCCGAGTTCCTGCTGTTGGCGGTCATGTCTGTGGACCGCTACCTGGCCATCTGCCGTCCTCTGCACTACCCCTTGCTCATGAGTGGAGCCGTGTGCGTTCGTGTAGCCCTGGCCTGCTGGGTAGGGGGACTCCTCCCCGTGCTCGGCCCCACGGTGGCCGTGGCCTTGCTTCCTTTTTGCAGACAGGGTGCTGTGGTGAAGCATTTCTTCTGCGACAGTGGCCCATTGCTGCACCTGGCGTGCGCCAACACCACAAAACTGGAGGAGGCCGACTTTGCTCTGGCCTTTCTGGTCATTGTGTCCTCCCTCACCATCACCGCCGCGTCCTATGCCCGAATAGTCCTGGCTGTCCTACGGATTCCTTCCGCTTCGGGCCGGCAGAAGGCCTTCTCCACCTGCAGCTCGCATCTGATGGTGGTCACCCTCTTCTACGGCAGTGCAATTTTTCTCTATGTGCGGCCGTCCCAGAGCGGCTCCGTGGACGCTAACTGGTCAGTGACTGTGATAACCACGTTTGTGACGCCCCTGCTGAACCCGGTGATCTATGCCTTGCGCAACGATCGAGTCAAGGAAGCTTTGACAGACATGTTCAGGAAGGTCAGAGCAGAGCTCTCAGAAAATTCCTTCCTTTCCGAAAGTTTGAGGAAGAAGACAGTGAGCTGAGATAGAGGGACTCAAATCCCTGCATCCCCTCTGCCATGAAAGAAGCCTCAGAGAGGGTCAAAGACGCCCACTCTAAAGTTCCTTCTCAGGTAAAACTCTACCTTATGCCCAAGAATACCAGCGCATGCTATTTTTAATATTTTATTTTTATTTTAGTTACGTGTCTGTGTGAGGGAATGGGGCGTGCACTGAGAGAGCAGGAATTAGATTCTCTGGTGGGCAGACACAGCGAGAGGCCATGCTAGGTAAGAGGTGGCTGACTCCCAAGATGGCTGGCTGCTTCCTCACCGTTCTGGCCCTCGGCTGACTGACTTGCTACACAGCAGTCATGGGCCAGCTGACTATTCTGTCTTTCATCTTTCCTCGAACTGATCAGCCCATTAGGGGAGGGACACTCTTTAGAGATTTCAGAGACCCTAGCCCTGTAGAAGAGACTGGGTTTTTGTTTGTTTTTTGTTTTTTGCTCCTTGGGTGTCCTCTCTATTTCGCAGAAGGTCTTTTCCTTTGTGTGTCTGAAACATGTGTATCTTCTCAACCCCCGACAAACACCTTTCTTCAACTGACACTGTCTGCTCCCATTTTCATAGTTGAGATTTCTCTACTGCTGTGTCCCACTTGAGAGACTTTTTTTCTTGCCTTATAATTCTTTAACTGGCAGAGAAAGTGAACCCTATCAAGACCCACAGAGACCGTCATGGGTGCTGGGAACCAAACTCGGATTCTCTGGAAGAGACCGTTGAGCCGTTTCTCCAGCCCAGCTCATACTGTCAGATATATGAAGACCAAACGATGGTTTCCTCTCCCACTCATCATCATAACCCCTGGAGGGTTGACCATCTGTGCCTTTGTCTGGGGATGGAATCTGTTAAATATCCCTAAGCAGACATTTAGGAATATCTATGTATATCCTCTACTCAAAAGTTAAAGACCGACTACACTTTCAATAAAGGTTTCCAAATATTCATGCAAATCAATAATATTAGAATTATTATTATATCAAAAGGAGGCCTGAGGATGTAGCTTGATTGGTAAAGAGCTTGGCTAGCATGCTTGAAGTTCTGGGTTTGAGCCCGATCACTTTGTAAACTAAATGTGATAATGTGTCCTTAACCCTGTTACCTGGGAGGGATCAGAAGTTCAAGGTTACTTTTACATACATGGAGTTTGAGGTCAACCCGGGATATGGATGATGATGGTGATGAAGATGAAGAAGGAGGAGGAGGAGGAGGAGGAGGAGGAGGAGGAGAAGAAGAAGAAGAAGAAGAAGAAGAAGAAGAAGAAAGATGATGATGATGGTGGTAGGGAAGATGACTCAGCAGGTTAAAGCACTTGCTCTGCTTCCACAAGGACCTGAGTTCAAATCTCTAATACCTATGTAAAAAGTCAGCCTGCCTGTGGGTGCTTGCAGCTCCAGCTTTGGGAAGGAAGAGAGGTGGATCCCAAGGTCAGCCTAGTGACAGTGGTGAGCTTCCCATCCAGTGAGAGGCCCAGTCTCACGGCGAGATACACAGCATGCTGCTTTGTTTATGCATGGGAATGCACGTGCCACCCCCCCCACACGTACCACACGTCATACACATCACCCTACACTCCTCATGCACACAATGGCATAGAAGTGGCCTCCTGTCTGCATCTGCCTTTGTCAGAATTTCTTGTTTTCTTTTATTTCTTGTATGTTTCTGTTCTTGTATGTATGTGTATACATGTATGTACTTGTGTGTGTGTGATGTGTGCATATGTGTTTCTGAGTGTGAGAGACCAATGTGCGCAACAGTAGCTAAACTTTAGGTTACAGACATGTGCTGCTGTACCCCGCTTTGTTTGTTTGGTCTTGGTTTTTTGAGACAGGGTTTCTCTGTGTAACCTTGGCTGTCCTGGAACTCACTCTATAGAGCAGGCTGACCTCGAACTCACAGAGATCCGCCTGCCTCAGCCTCCCAAGTGCTGGGATTTAAGGTGTGCGCCACCACTGCTCAGCTTTGTACTCTGCTTTTGATCAGGTTCTAAAGATTCAAGTTCTCATACCTGCCCAGCAAGTGCTTTACCCACTAAGCAATCTCTTCAACCCATTTTTTCCTCTCTGTCTCTTGTTAAATAATGGTGTCTCAAGGGATTTTTTTTCTCCCGACTTTATGCTCTCTTTAGGAATTTCCACTTACATCACAGCACATTGGTGGTTGAGACACTTTTTCTCTAGGCCCAGTCTCTCACCTCAGACTCACAGTTTTCCTGTCAACCTAACTCCATGGAGATTTCTCTAACTCATCCTGCTCAAGACTGAAACCTTGACATTTCCTCCCCCCTTTTCACCAACCATCAATTTCTACCTCAGTGCATGACCTGACGGCTTCAATATTGCACCCGCTCTTCCACCAAGGCTTGTCCTTACTGCCTAGCCAGCCCAGCTCTGCAGCAACCTAAGTGAGAGTGTGATTCTCTTTCTCTCTCTCTCTCTCTCTCTCTCCCCCTCCCTCCCTCCCTCCCTCCCTCCTCCTTCCTTCATTTCCTTCTTTGTGTGTTTGTGTGTGTGTGTGTGTGTGTGTGTGTGTGTGGTCTCTGTGTACCCTTGGTTGCCCCAGAACTAACTATGTAGACTAGGCTAGCCTTGAATTTACATTCATGTACCTATACACACACACAAACACAATCATATACACATCATTCAAAATAAATAAGTCAGAAAAAGACAAAATTATTATACTTTCTATATTCTTTTTGGTTTTGTTTGTTTTGTTTTTTGAGACAAGGTTTCTCTGTGTAGCACTGACTGTCCTGGACCTTGCTCTGTAGACCAGATTGGCCTTGAACTCTTAGAGATACTACCGCCTCTACCTCCTAAGTGCCAGTATTAAAGGTGTGGAGCATCACTGCCTGGCCACACTTTCTTACTATTCTTACTATCTCAATTCTAAATTCCATGAAAATGGAAAGACTTTCTCATCTCACCAATGTGATCAATCATTATTGTTTATGAAAAAAATGAGGAATGTAAAAATTAACTTAATTCTGATTTTTGTTTAAATAAATTTTCAAAGAGCTGTTCTCATTCGCTCTAAGTCTTTAAAATAAAACTATGTATATGTGTGTATGTCTACGTGAGAATATGCTGTATATGTGAAGTACTCTTGGAGGCCAGAAGAGGGCACTGGATCCCCAGGAGCTGGATTTATTGGTAGTTGTGAGCTGCCAGATGTGAGTTCTGGGAGTTAAAGTCAGGTCAGGTCCTCTGGAAGAGCAGCAAATGCTGTTAACTGCTGAGCTGCCTCTCCACCCTTTCCCAGATCTTAGAAAGCATTTTAGAACTGGGTGTATTGGTGTATAGATGTAATCCCAGGACTTAAGAGGCAGAGCTAAGAGGACTTTGAGTTTAAGGCCAGCCTGGGCCAGTGTGAGTTGAGGCTAGACCTGTCTCAAACTATTGCATATTGAGGATATAAGTTCAGTAGGGGAGTTCTGGCCTTATTTGATCCCCAGGACCGGAAACAAAGAAGCATGGAAGCAAGCAAGCAAAAAGCATTTGGACAAGTGAAGACATATACAAAGGCTGCTTACTAGAGGGGCAGAGTTGAGACACTGACGTGTGAAAATACGCATACCGAAGGCTGAAGAGAACATCTAGAGATGAAGGGCACTTGCTGCTCTTGTTGAAGATATGAGCTGGGTTCTCAGCACCCATGTCAGGTAGCTCATAACCACCTCCGACTCCAGCTTCCAGGATCCAACACTCCCCTTTGGCCTCCACAGCCACCCACATACGTGTGGCACACACAAGCAAACACACATATGTAGAGGTTGTGGAGATGGCTCAGTGATTAAGAGAACACACTATTCTTCTGGAGGACCCAGGTTCAATTCCTAGCACAGCCTCTCTAATTCCAGTTCTTCCGGCCTCCTCCGGTGTCTCTGCACATATGGTGCACGTTACAGAGAAGCAGACATTCTCACAAAACAAAGCCAATAAATCTTAACACACAAACACAAATAAAAATAAAATCTCAAAAAACATTATCTTCCATATGTGAAGCTGTCTGATGTGGATAAATTCCAGAAGGAACAGGGGTCAGGTCCAGTTACAAAGGACATGGGAACTGAAAATGATGACCATGACCCTGTTCAAACATATGCTTTTAAAGTAAATCCTAATGCCAGTGTAGAGAAAGGACAGGCGTGGAGAGAAGGCAGGCAGACCAGCGAGCTCCACTGTTGCAGAAAACAACGAAGGCCAGGAATCTGGCACCTGAGATGCTGTGAAGAACTTTCTCTTACAAACATTAAGATGTGCTATTTTGCTTGTTGTTTGTTTGGTTTTTTGCTAGGCCTGGCAGCATGATGGCCAGAGCATGGAGTCGTTCAGGAAGCAGGCTGATCCACACTCAGCAAACACAGAGAGGACAGGAAGTGGGGCAAGGTTAATAAATACCTAAATATCACCCCCAGTGACATCCTTTCCCCAGCAAAGTTCCACTTCCTAACAGTCCCATAACTTTCCCAAACAGGCCCACCAACTCCAGACCGAGTGCTCAAATAACTTGTCACTCAAATCACAGCCACACGCAAACTTTTCCAAGAACCCCACCTTAAACACAAACAGCACAAGATGAGCCCAGATAAAGCCTTCTTAAATACAGGGGCATCTACAAAGCTCTTCATGGAGGCTAAAGTGAGGGTTTGTTAGGTCTGGAATCAACCGAGGGACGTGCCCCTGGGAGGAACTGGGAGGCATTTCCAGGAAGGATCATCTGAGGAGAAGACGCTTCCAGAGCCAACAGCACCTTGGGAAGGAGGAGTCCCAGATGTTGAGAGGTCTGGGAAAAGGACAGATCTGCTTGCTTGCCTTCATTGCCTCTGGGTTGGTGAATGTGACCGGTTCTGCCGCTGCTGGTTGTCTTTTCAGACATTAAAAACCCCAGGGTCCTCGTGGTTCAACTAGGGTAGAAAACCAGCAACTATCTGGGCCTCTTCCAGGCCTTTAGCTCCAGACTGGGGCTGATAAGGCATCT